ACTTAAGAAGTGTTTTTTTAAATTTTTATTAAGTGTTTAATGCCAAGCCTCTTTTTTTCTCCAAATAGGATGTAATGTAAAACACGTTCAATTTCAACAAGAACTGTTCAAACGAGTGGAGTCGCCATCTCCTCTGGGAAGCCGCCTTCTGCTCTCTGAATCAGTCAGAGATTTTCCAGAAGTGTTTGACACAAAGTACTTCATTTTAGTGTTTGGACAGAGCCTCAGACGTCGCTCAGATACATAATTGATGCAGCCAAGGCCAGCAGGGCGACAGCAGTAGCCATGGCAACACCTAAACAAGGAGGAGGAGGAGGATTTTGAAATGTTAATGCAGCAATCCATTTCTAAAACAAAGAAACTGTTAGATTAGAAGGATTTTCAGTCTTTAATATTCCTGCATAGAGTTGAAATAAACTGGTTTTATCTGGTACAGGATGCATTTGACAAAAAAATAGATAAATAAAACCTCATTAGTCTTTTATAATTAAACATTCTTTGACAGTGATTTTAATTGTATCCATGTGTATGTGGTTTGATACAGAAATAAATGCCCTGCTTGTGTGAGTTGTTTTTGCTGCCAATATGCTCAGTTTGAGGATGGGAATTCTGATCCTCAAAAAACGATAGTTTCAATCAGGTCCAGCAGTTTAAAATGCTACAAATGTGCATTAATGTGTAACAAACAATTGGGGTAATGTGTGTTTTAACACAGAGACTAGATTTTATCCCTTAATAAATAAATAAAATCATTATTTGAAAACTGCTTTTTGTGTTTATTGAGGCTCATTTCAAAGAAAAGATCAGAGACAACAAAGTAAAAACAGCAGAATTGAATTAGCTGCTGTGGTCTAACGTAGGCAGAAGGACCTCACCAATGTAGTTGTTTCTCCAGGGATCCAGCATCTCATTCTCTTCTGCTGGTTCTTCTTCTTGAAACACACAAATATAATGTAATGAATCAGGCACCCATTGTTACATCACACCTGCACTCACAGCCAAGTTATTCAGCGTGAAAATGAGAGATATTTATTTAACTTTGAATCAGATTTGTGCTTGAAAAGACGTTTTTGTGTTTTGCTTTAGTACATTTTGCTTATTATACACCAGCATAGCAAAGCAACAGTAATGCAGAGTCAGTATGAGGAATTGTAGTAGGTTAATGACTGGATGCAATCAGCTGAATTTCCTAATGTAGAAATTTGTTACCCGTTTGACTTATTTTGACTGCATTGTTTGGTTTTAAAAACAATTAATAAAAAAGGCCCTTTCAGCAAATCACAGCAGAGCGTTGTTAGTACCTTCTGTCGCCTCGCTCTCTATGACTTCTGCAATAATTTCGCAAGTGGCGTCCAAGTCTTCCTCGGCTGCGTCCATGTCCAACATCTCCTTGAACCGGTCGGTCATTTCTGACAATCCTTCGTCGCTAAACTGGTAGTCACACACACTCAGCGGGCCAGTGGATTTCACTGGGCAGAAGACACGACGAGGGAGGCAGGACTGCTCTGAAACCGCAGACAAGAGCAGAAACGTCTTTTACAACTACAATCTATCCATCATTCCTTTAGTTTAATGATTTTGTGATAATGGAACCCTACTGCACCCCCTCTTTTTAATTATCATAAAACTTTTAATATCTTCAGATAACTTAATTTATGTTTAATTTCAGGTCTAACAACCTGCCATACGCCATTAAACCAACTGGATTTGGTGGAATTGGGTCATTCTGAACCTCCTCACAGCCCTGAGTTCAAACATAAATCTGTACAGCAATAATCATTTCACTAACTGAGTCCACCATGTGAAGTTTGACTTCATACCCATCTGTTTCCGGCCCTTGTTCTCCTCATTTTGTTTCTGCGGCTCCTCCAACAGCATCTGAACTCTTGTGGCCACCGTAGAAACGATATCTCTCTTCAGCAGCTGCTCATAACAAAAACTTTAACTACTACTAGTTGACAAATTATTTTAAATTACGCATTTTGTCAGCCTGTAACAAGCATCACCTTCTCAGCCAGTTTAGCTTTTGGTTTGTTGCTGTGAAGGAAAGCTCTGCTGTGGATCGCTCCTCTGACCGACACGCAGCCTCCGCACCGCTGAACCACATCTGCTGCCGTCTGGACATCCTGCAACGCACAGGAGGTTCAGGTAAAGGACCCAATATCACTTTACTCAGAATCTCTATTCACTCAAAGCGGAACGTTTTTGCAAAATACAACAGAGTAGATTTCTCTGTGTAACCCCCCATTTGTTCCTATGCCTGGAAATGATGTAAAATAGTAAAAAAAAAAAAAAAAAAAAAGGTAATTAAAACTAATTCAAATAAAATTTTACAGTGAAAATTTTTGAAAAATACATCCTCCAAATTGAGTGCATTTATTAAGGAATAGAAAAAGAAAAGTTAGATTAAACCTAACAAAAATAACTGATTAATTTGAAGAATCACAGATGGTAAAGTTACTTTTACTCCTATAAAAAAAAAAAAAAAAAAACATGTAAATGCTGCTCGCTTTGAATTCCTGATTTCATTGCAAAGCGTCTTTCAGTGTCCAGAAACACGCTTCGTAAGCCTGAAGTTATTTCGTTTCACTTAATTAATTTCAACAAATAAATGGACTTAACTGAAAATTTTCATGAGAAGGTTTTAATGCAACTTTATAACGAAGCTTTTTTAGACATCTCTACCAGGAGTGCAGACAAATGTGGCTGATGCTGTGCGTGTCTTACCGGTGTGATGAGCAACTGGGCTGAGATGGTCTGTCTCACATTCTTTTTCTGGAGGGAAACAAAGTAGATTAAAAAAAATATATACTTTTCTCTTTTACACATAATCTGACATTATACAGCCCAAAAGATGCACAGAGGTTTGTTTGCTATTCTAGTTTTTTCTGCTGTTAATTTGTGTTAATTTCTAATTAATCATCACAGAATAGGTGGACTTCACTTGTTAGCAGGATCTTATTATAAAACAAATGGTAGATATTCCAGGCATTTTACTTTGTTTTTTTTTTTTATATCCAAGTATAAAATGCATTAAAGTTGGAGAATAACTTAATTTTTACGCATGTTGGAGAACACTGCATGTATTAGAGCTAAAAGTTTAATCAAACTGGCAGCAGAAGTCAACTTGAAAGTTTCAGTGAAGATAATCACCATTAAATCCAACTCCAAATAATCTGTTTTTATCATCATGTGCATGTAGATTTATTAACTTGTAGCGTTTATGTTTACACAACCTGTCCTGCTTTGAGCTCCGAGTCCTCTGGCAGCTTCTTTCCATCAATGAGACAAACTCCCCTTTCAATCTGCTGTGCCCAAACTTTCAGCTCCTCCTGAAACAAACAAGAAGCTAAAACCAGTTCCAGTCAAGCTGCTGTATGAAATGCTTCATGAATCAGAGTAGGTGATATTTTTTTTAACCTTAAGGCAATCGTCCATGTTTCTTGTGAAGGCCATGTTTTCTGGGAGTGGTACCATCAGGTCTACACTCAGGCAACAGGACACCGTAGCCCAGGAAGAGCACACACCTGACTGGTACTTCCAGTCTGCTGGTTTGGCCACACTCTGAAACAAACAAAAACTAAACAAAATAACTCAGTGGATCATAATTTACAATTCCATTACCCTGCATTAAATTTAAATTGAACTAAGGCTAAACATAAAAAGAAGAAGTAGTGAACAACAAACTTAATCACCATATTTTAAGATATTGTTAAGCATTAACTAACGTACACATTTATAGAAGGAGAGCACAGCGGTTTGACTGTAACAGCTGCAGATCAAAGCCGCTGCATTTTAAGACAAAATACACACAAACCTTGGGGTCTTTGACGTCAAACGTTCTGCAGACAGTTCTGATGGTAGAGGTTAAAGAGAGACCGTCACACAGTGGGAGGTAGAGACAACATCACGGCTGTGGGGAAAAAAAGGATACTTCCTGGTTTTGGGGTTGACGTGCAGCGTGACGCAGTCTGTTACATCATCATCAGCGGGCGTCCAGAGCCGCTCCGAGGAGATCAGGTTCTCCACCGAAAACACCAACTATCCAAACAAACACACACAGACACACACAGAGAGAGCGCTCAGACTCTTGGGTTGATATTAATCCTCCACCATGCTGGAGCTGACATAAGTTTATGTCTTATCTTATCGGTGTACATAGCTGATCATTTCCAGCTATTTTCACGTTTTTAAAATATCCGCCATGTCCCGTTACCTGTCGGAGTGTGGTTAGAGTGTCCTTGGCATCACTCTCACTGATTATAAAAACTCCCAACACAGACAGGCCACCAGGCAGCATCCTGGATACCTGGAAACAACAAGGGCTTGCTGTTTAAACACTGACAAATATTCAGCCAGACTTCTCCATGTTACATATTGTGAAACCTCTGGAACTGACTCATATTTCATGGATGTATTTTTTTAACTCCTTTCATGCAAAAGACTTCAAAACATCTACAAGTGCAGTGGCTGAGTGTGAATCTTTGTACTTACCTGTCGTGCGTGCTCAGACACCCACTCTTTGTCCACCGACTTCCCGCCGTCTGCAGACTCGTCGTTTTGGGGTGTCCTTGTTGTCATAACAACAAAATCCCTTTGGACCGTGCTCTAAAACATTTAGTACTTGACATTACTTGATATAATTTCCCAACACACAAAATATGCTCACAAAACATTAAACTGTCAATAATTAATCATTTTAAAGCACAGATTTTAAATATACACAAGACATCATCTCTGAAACGGATTTAAAAATTTTGCCCCTTGACATCCAGGCACCACTCTGTAGCTCTATTGAATAATTTCAGTGTCTTTTTTCAACTTAAAAAAAAATCTACCAAATTATGTATTTGGGACAAATATCCTATTAAACTTTAACATGAAAAGTAGCTGTCGTTAACAAAAATAAGCACAAAAATTGTACTTTGTGGACTACATAAACATGGTATCTAAGGAAGCTGCATTTGTGTCTTAGAATGGCCCAGTCAAAGCTCAAACCAAAATCGAACTGAGATTCTGTGGAGATATCAAAATTTCTGTTCACATTTAAATATTTAGTTTCTAGCTGCTTAGCTGGCAGAGACTGCTCCACTTTGCAAATATCCAAACTTCTGTGTCGATCTACCACAAAACTGAACTGAGAAATCTTAAAATAAATATGAAATAGGGAAATGTATGTGCAAGTGCAAAGACCCACCTGTCCAATAAGCAGACCTGTGACTGGACCTGCTAGCTGTGAACATAGTCTGGACAGATATCCCTCCACATCATCTTCAACAATATAGCTCCGACCCATACTGTGAAAGAAAGAAAAGGTATATAGAGTCACGAGCTTTAATACTTTATGTTTGTTGGTTTGCAGTGGGAAAGACACGTGAAGGACTGGAACAGCGCTAAAACAGACAAATAGACCAATAAATAAGACAACGGTTTAAATTTGAAATAAAACCCACCCTTTTGTCACGGAATTACGTGAAGGAAAACTCAAACTCGTCGATTATAAGAACCTGACTGTGTACCTTACTAGCTAGTCAGTTGTTCCTGCTACATTTATATGTAATAGTTTTGAACGATTACAAATAAAAAAGAACCCACAAGTTTTAGTTCAATAAATTTCACACTGTGTATAAAATTCCTTACAGGAGCAAATGTGAAGTGTGTACAAACCTGAAAGCTACAATAGTCACTTCTGACAACTGGCTGTGGTTCGTCAGCAAAGCAAAAAGAGGAAAAAAACTACAAATTCAACAGTTGTTTTGTGACGTATATCCGTCGCATATTTATATCGTTATGAAAGGGTCAAAGTATTTTGTCAAGCTAGATCTAAAATTAAAAAGTACTTCCATGTGTTCTTCAAAATAAGACTCAAACGCTTTGTTTTATTCTATAGTTTTGATGTAGTTATGCACCTAAAAAGTCACACTATAAAGCATAAGCAACTTTATTCAACTAAATTAATGTCGATGTCAACACATGTGCTTGTTGTTAACAGTGAAAATCATTCATTTCACTCAAAAAGTTTTATTTTGAAAGTTTAAGTTGTATTTCCTGTATCATCTATTAACGTAGCTTCAGACTTCGGTCGTTCGTACTCTTCAGTTTTGGTGATAGAATACGCTTCAGGACTACAGTTAAGGACTTTGGCGTCCAGTTATTTATTTCGTTTTTCGGGAGGAGTTGGTGGAGATGGCGGTCGTCTTACTGCAGGCCCTAGAGCGGACGGAGTTGAACAAACTCCCGAAAGGCGTCCAGAACAAGCTGGAGAAGTTTGTAGCAGACCTGCAGAATGCTAACGAGGCGCTAAAGACGCAGCATGAGCGGTTCAAAGCAGATAGTGGTGAGTAACATCCGCCTAGCCACTATTATAATTCACTGTTATTTGTGTTAAAATGATATAAACCAGTTGTAGACAACTCCTGACTGCTAGAATGTCTTTATTTGTGACGTTCGGTGTACAAACTAATGTCGTGTTTGATCCATTTTTGGATAAAAATCACCCTTTCTGTGCTAGCTGCGGTGCCATGCTAAAGGCTAACTTCGGCGATGGAGAGGGATTCCCACAGGCTCAGAAAACACCTTCTGATCACACAATGCTTAGGAATCTTCTGTTTGAAGGCTGAAATCACAAAATAATGCAAAATATTCTAAAATAATTTTTCGGTCTCTTAACACTATATCAGTATAAACACCCAAGAGAGAGAGAAAAAACAGTGCTAATTCTAAATTAGTTTTTGTGCGGGGGATTTCATTCATGCTGCATGGAAACACTTAAATCTTATAGTCTCTAATATAAAAATATATATCATATATGTTTTAGGAAAATATGGCAGAGAGAAGACATTGTCTAACTTTACATAGTATAGAGTGAAATTATTAAAAGACAGGTAAAGAGAGTTCAAAGAGAGATAAAGTTTGGGAAACAGACCAATGACTGGTACTGAGTGACACAGACATCACCCTACAGACTATGGTAACACACGGTGGTGTAGAAAAAAAGTGTCTTTACTACAAAAATAAATAATGTGTTAATTAAAAATAATTGTCAACATCATAAATTGTGACAAAAGCAGCCATATACATTCATTTTCATTCTGTTACAAATTTGAAGCTCTAATAATATTCCTTTAAGCAATTTACACATTCTTTGTCAACCTTTTTTTCCCACATAAAAAAATACTTTGATATTCTTTTGTATCCCTGCTTACCTGATTAATATTTTGTACCTGCAGAGCAACGATACTTTGACTTTGAGAAACAGCTGACAGAGAGCCAAGAACAGATCCTTTCTGCCACAAACGACCTGCAGATCCTGAAAGAGGAGAATAAAAAACTAAGTGAGTTCTCCTGTATTTATTATGTAACCAGTAAATCGGTTTCCCTACATTGCTAAACGTTTGATCTGAATGTTTCTCTTTGTGCAGATGAAGAGCTGAGCTCTCTGAAAGGAACAGAGGATGAGACCAGTGAAGAAAAACGACCACAACAGGTAAAGGAAATGAACAGTTTCCAAACCTAATGTTATTACTCCTCTCCCTGGTTGGTACTGATGGCTGATTAATTAGCTGGATGTGACGGCTCTGCTCCTAAATATGATTAACATAATTTATTATTCCATTCAAAGTTATGTGATCTATTCTTATCTCTATTTTAAATTTCTTTTCTAACCTTTTTGTCAGGATGAATTAATTAGTCCAAGAATATATCTTTTTTAAACCCAAAATGAAATTAATTACATAAATATTTATTTAAAAAATGGGTTCAAGGTAGATTCAGTGTGTGGATAATGTGGGTCATTATGCAAATACAGCCAAACACAGTTATTTGTGGTCAGATGACACTTGAACTTACATCAGCATTTGGTCAAATGAAGCTTTGTTATAAACAAACATGGTTGTGTTAAATGTGTGTTTTTAAGGTTTTTTGTTAGATCAATAAAGTCGTTCAAATTTTTTTTGTTTTAATCACTGAAACAATAACAAATTAGATTTTTTCACTGTTATAGTACTGCATCTGTGTATTTTTTTTTTTTTTTTTTTGCAGCAAACCAAGGCAAAGTATGAAATTGAGGCGGAGAAGAGAGAACTGGAGAGGCTGCTGGAGAAGAGAACGCAGGAGGTGGAGAACCTGACAGGTAACTTTGTCATTCAGGTCCTTGTTGAAATATTACAATGTGCTAATACGGCTTGATTTCTATTATTTTTCAAGAGATGCTTTCTCATCTCAGGTTTTTGTTTTGTAGCTGCAGAAGACTTGCCTTATTTCTCCTAAATTTGTGACATTTGTGTTTTTAGAGGACATGAAACGTCTGAATGAGAAGCTGACCGACACCAACAAACTAAAGATGGAGCTCCAGCTAAAGCTGGATGAAATACAGTCATCTACAGCCTCTGTGCAGGTCTGACAGCTTTTCTTCCGGTTCACAACGATGTACTACTTCTTACTGGTCTGTCGCATAAAATCCACTCGATGGGATTAAGGGTGTTAATGCTTTTACAAGGCAGTTTTACGAAGCCTAAGAGGCAGTTTACCTTCTAAAAGACAATATATCGCTGTAATTGTAGCACCGAGAGAAACGAATGGAGCAGGAGAAAGAGCTGCTGGAGAAGAAAGTTGATTGGTTAACTGCAGAGCTGTCGACCAAAACTGAGGAGTTACTGGACACCAACAGAGAGAAGGGGAAGGAGATACTGGAGCTGCAGGGCAGTCTGCAGAGCAGCAACGAGCAGGTGGCGAACAGCTAAACACAGATACGCTTCAGGCTTCTATGTTAGGGTTGGGTTTTGTTGTTCTGTTTAGCTTCCTAATGTCTTGTAATATTTCTCTTCAACAGGTGAGCAGACTTGAAAGTCAGCTCACTTCTCTGAAAGAACTTGGTGAAAGCCAAAGTAAAAGAGCTGAAGATCTCAACAACAAACTGAAACAGGTAATTAGTCCTAGTCCTACATATGTACACTTGTTTTTAAGAGATTCCCCCCCTTATGTATGCTTATTTTTTTTTTCCTTTACCATCTGTCCCTCAAGGCAAAGGATGAACAGGTTGCTATGGAGGAGAAATATCGCGTTGAGCTCAACGCTCATGTAAAGTTGTCATCACTCTATAAGGTCAGAACCACTTAAATCTTAAAGCTCTTGATTACTGAGCACTAATTATTAAAAAAGAAAACTCGATGTGGGGTGATTCCTTCTGCAGGGAGCAGCGACTGACATGGAGGCAAAGAACCAGGAGCTGAGCAGAGCAGTGGAGGAGCTCAGCAAGCTGGTCAAAGAGACGGGAGAAGGTAGAACCTCTGAGTTCTGTTTTTTTTTTTTTTTTTTTCTTTAGTTTTCCATATAGCATTCATCTCTGATAACCTGCGATTGACCGACGTTACGACTTTTCAGCTAACAAGGGTCTGGAGAAGAAAGTTTCAGATGCTGAAGAGCAAAAAGTCAGAGTCGAGGCAGAACTCAGAGAGAAGATAAAGAAAATGGAGAAGGAGCTGGAAAATGCAACGACAAAGGCTGCCGGAAAAAACTGCTGTACGAATATTCACTCGCACGCTTTGCAGATGCCCGTGTTCGTTCTGTTGAAGGTGGAGCGTAGCAGTGCTAACTTTAGCGCTTATGTTCTGTGTTTTCCTCGTGCAGGCGGGTCGTCTTTGACAGAGGAGCAGCTGGACTCCATGTGTCCATCAGCCGCTGCCATCGCTGCAATTGTCAAGCCTGGCATGAAATTTTTCGATGTAAGAAATAAACCCAATTAACTGAAGTTGATTTTTGTACAGTTTTGGCTTAATTACTGCTCTAGTTGATCACCTACGAAATCAGCTTATGATTATTTCAGTAATCGATTAATTGTTTCAGCTTAGTTTGGCTAGAAATCAACATACATTTCTTTATTTCCAACCACTGAGAGAGTTTGGAGTTGAGTTTTTTTTTTTTATATTCAGACACCACTTTCCTGAGTAAAACATTCCCCGTCTGTGTTTCCCTTAGCTATATAACGCATACGCAGAGTGTCAGACCCAGCTGCAGCTTGAGAAGCAGGAGACGAGGAGGGTGAGCAAAGTCTTGGATGAAATAGTCCAGGAGGTGGAGTCCAAAGCTCCAGTGCTCAAGCGACAGAGAGAGGAGTATGAGAGCATGCAGAGGTCAATGGCTTCCCTATGCAACAAACTGGAACAAGCTCGAACGGTGCGTCAAGTTATTTGCCCATGAATTTATTCACTTGGTGGCATTAAGTGACGTCTTTCATAAATGGCAAAAACATTTTACGCCACCAGGAGATCTACCGTCTGCAAAAAGAGAAAGATGAAGCCAAGCAGAGCTACGACGCCATGGAGAGAGAGAAACTAAAGGCTGAGAGGCAACTGGAGGATTCGTCTGCACAGGTATCAGATATCCAGTGTGAATTCATAGCAGTAACCCAGATCTGGAGTTTAACGTGTTAAACCCACCTGGCCCAGCTGTGCAATCTCCTGGTCGAGTTGGAAGAAGCGCGCGGCAATCAGGTGTCCAAAGACGACGGCAGCTCCTCCGACATTTCCAGCACCTCGGAGGTGAACAGCTCGAGCCAGCTGTCGTTTCGCAGCGTGATGGAGCTGCAGAGACAGAACCAAAGCCTGCTGGGAAGACTACGGGAGCTGGAGGAGGAGAAGAGCAGGGAGCGGTCCAGGGAGGAAAACGCACGGTAAGAAATAAATCAGTAGGTTTAATTTCATTGGAAGCGTTTCACAGACATTCTAAAAGAAAAGGCCTTCTTCTTTCTCTTCTTTTATCTCTGGTTGTA